GAGTTTTTCCCGCAACCCTAAGGCGTTTGTTGTTGGTTTGTTGCGCGAAGTTTGTGCTGCACGTGGATCCACGTGCACGCTTTTTGCAGGGGTGCGATTGCCCGAGTCGAGAGCAGCTGTGACCACATCCGATTAACCTACCTCTTTTCATGCTCAAGCAGACGAAATTTGGTGGGCTTGCAGGATGAACAAAAAGTTTGTTGATGCATGTACCAGAAGGAAAGGAGCAGTGTGCCGTACATTTATCATGCGAGGAACAAGCAAGATTTGATAAAGTGTCTGTCAAGAGAGACTACGCCGTACATTACAAGGGGTACCCATCCTTGAGATTTCCAACACAGGGTCGGAAAAGTGAATTAAGACCCGCGCGAGGCCTACCTACCTATTAGCCGAGCCCCATATATCAATTTCCCACGGTAATATTCTGAACGGCGTGATTCTTTGGCCGAATTCAACTGAGATTGAGACAAAATCAAACGTTAATAGGCGCAAAATTCAGTACATAAATAGATGATTGCTAATTCCAGCTCGATTCTGGCCTTACCAAATGTTCGCTCCCGCTCAGCTCCACTTGTAAAAAAAAAAAAAATTCTGATACCTGTAAACATGTTTTTAGAAGGTTCCAAGCAAATGCCGAAAAGTGAATTAAGAGGGTCCGAAACCCTACCTACCTAGGAGGCTGTGTCTCGGCATCTTGCGGTGGGTACCCCTTGCCTAATTATATTCCTCTTTTCTTCCCTGGTCAAATGTCTGAAACTTCGATGAAGGGATGAAAAACAGGGAATAGAAGAGGTTGAATTTGGGTGCAGGGAGTCAAAACCCGTCTTGCTGCCTCACTTTCAACGAAGATAGTGGAAGAAAAGCGGTCTGCACCGTACACCACATCCGATTAACCTACTCCCCTTCGCGCTGTCTAAGTGTTGTTCGCGTGAATGAATCAAACAAAAAGGACGAGTAGAATAGGATTCAGATACGGGGAGTCAAACTCCATCTTGCTGCCTCAATTAAACTCGTATACAATCTGTTGAACAAGAGCCGCAGTGCACCATATACCACACCCAATTAACCGCTTCCCTTCTGTCCTGATAAAGCCCGCGATTCAGAAGCTCCACCAAAGGGTTGTCCGGCCGGAAAATCCTTGGATTTATTTTTGCCCTCAAAAACGCAACATTCTGAGCTCAAAAACCCGAAATCGGGACAAGGCTCTCCCTTGCACGGAACACCGTAAAATCGAAATAAATTGGTGGAATTTCTTGCAGGGGGGGATTTTACGGCCTTAAGCTTGGTTTGGTCGCTGGGTTTCGGTGACTCCATGTATGTGCCTCATCGGGCCGAAATCTTGTCTTGTGGGGCAGACCTCAAGAACCCAAATTCCGGACAAGGGTTGACGACTTTTGGCCCAGGAGAACCCAAATTTTGGACAAGGAAATGAATGGCCAGTTTGAGGCCGCAAAAACCCACATTTCCGGACAGCCCCTTGAGAGAGCTTCCCGGGGCCTCGCTGGTGATTCTGGGTGCTTGCGGGATGAGCAAAAAGAAAAAAGAGGGAACTCCAAATCGAATTCGGGTGCGGGGAGTCGAACCCCATCTTGCTGCTTCAAATTTCGTAGAATAGGTTCCGAAGGATACCAGCGGTGGTGCGCCGTGCACCACACCCAATTAATCTACCTCTTTTCATGCTCTTCAAGCGGGCGAGATTTGGTGGGCTTGCAGGATGAACAAAACAGTTTGTCAATGTGGGCATGCATATTCGGATGCGGGGAGTCGAACCCCGTCTGGCTGCCTCAATTCCTAGTACAACCACAGCAGACACAGCAGTGCACCGTACACCACACCCGATTAACCTACTCAAGTATTCCCTGCCCAAGTGCATGAGATTTTGCACCCAAGGGACAAATGAATTAAAAAAGCTGGAACTGAATTCGGGTGCGGGGAGAACCCCGTCTCACTGCCTCAATTTCATTCTCAACAACAACACAGGGAGAGCAGCGGTGCACCGTACACCACACCCGATTGATGTATTATCCCCCCGAAGGTAAGATGGGTTAGGACGAGACCCCGAGTGCGAGATAGATAGGAGTCCATGCCATCTTCGTCACTTAGTTACTTCGCTTAGCTTTGCAACTTTGATGGGAATTGGTGAAAGTTCGTGACTTTGATGGCTTTCTGTGAAAGTTCGTGAGTTAGTATTCCGGGCTTGTCAAGCCGTGATATTCGGCACATCACGGAGTGGTGAATATCAGCGGCTTGCCGAGCTGGCCGGTTAGGTTCAGGTTAGCTGGTTAGTGGTTAGAGGTTAGTGGTTAAGGTTAGCTGGTTAGGGTTTGAGGTTAGTGGTTAGAGGTTAGTGGTTAGCAGTTAGAGTTAGTGGTTAGTGTTAGGGTAAGGTATCTATATGACGAAACTGTCCGGCCTTGTGTTGAAGGAACAATGATGGCCGATATTCCGGGTTCTGGAACGTGCCGAGTCAAAATGACGAACTTTAAACCATTGGAAGTAACGAACTTTCATTAAATGCCATCAAAGTGACGAGGTTTCGTGAAAATAAGCGAAGTAACTAAGTGACGAAAATAGCTACTACCCGATAGATAGCAAACATGGAATTCATATATTGATGAGGGTAAGGTAGGTGCTATCGCACATCTCGGTGTCAGAGGAGGGCGTGTGCACTTGAATAGAACAGAAAAGATGGACGTGTGCGAGGATTATTATAGCACCATTCATTATCGGAGGATCGGGGGTTCATTTGGGGTTGGAATTCGAATAGAATAGGGGATGAGAGAAATGTTTGTCACTGGAACATTCCCTTTTGGGTCGCCAGCCCCGGACCCGGTTAAACGGACAGACTACGTGTTCCCAAAACCTCGTTGTGAGAGAAACATTTGTCACTGGAACATTAGTAAAGATCGAACACAATAAAATCAACCCAATGGGCCAATGGTCAACGGTTAACGGCCACTTCCAACACTCCCTTTTGGGTTGGCAGCTCCAGTTAAATGGATAAACTATGTATTCCCATAACCTCGTCATGAGAGAAATATGTCACTGAAACATTCCCTTTTGGGTCGGCAGCCTCGGGCCCGGTTAAACGGACAAACTGTGTGTTCCCAGAACCTCGTTATGAGAAATATTTGCCACGGGAACATTAGTAAAGATCGAACATGATAAAAATCAACCCCGTCTTGTCAATGGGCCAGTTAACGACCACTTCCACCACTCCCTTTTGGGTCGGCAGCTCCGGTTAAATGGATAAACTACGTGTTCCCAGAACCTCATCATGAGAGAAATATTTGTCACTGAAACATTAGTAAAGATCGAATTCGGAACAATGTCTTGTCAATGGGCCCACGTCCTCAAGGGCATTCAAGATAAAAAGGCGGATTCCTTGTGTGAACATCAGTCAAGTCATTCTTGCTGAAATGACCTCCGCAATCGCAGCTACCCGCCCCGTCAACCCTCCTGACGCCCAACCCGTCCTCACCGAGAAACACCTGTGGCGGGGCCTCGAATATCGAGCGCGCAACCCCGCTGTGCGTCTCCCAGCATTCTTAAGGTCGTCTATTTACTTACCCATGAGCTGCAGCTGTTCTTACCGAATGTGCCTGCGAGCAAGATGATCACCGACGGCGGCAACAAGGTGTGTCCAGTCGTTCAAATGCGGCCTTGATGTGATTCACGCATAATTTTCAGATCGTGCAAGAGCTCACGGTGAAAAACGAGGACCAGACAGAGACCGAGGTCCTGACGGAGACCATTCAGGCGTACCCTTCGACTATCGTACGTCCTGCGGTCCATGGTCACCGCTTGCGTCGTTGATCTTGCTGGGCGCCAGATGTACCACGAAGTGAGCAACGGGCTGCGTATTGTGACTGTGGTGTCCCGCGGAGCTGCCGGTGAGCTGCTGTTGACGTTCTCTTTTGCCAACCGCGGTGCGTCCCGTGGTATTTCACGGTTTTGAATTGCGTTAGGTCCTGATGTCTGGTCACAGAGCTTCCTGCAGGTAAGCCTAAGCCGACCCCGGAAGAAGAGAATGCCAGGATTGGAAAAATATTGGAGAAGACGATTGCGATGTTTAGGGAGATGGTATCCGAGGGGAAGTTGTAGGACCATCCGCTCGCAGATAATTAGTGGAGATCGAGTGAATGAGTAGAATTGAAGGCAATGTATTAACGACCGCACTGGCACGATCTTCGTATCCCTTGTGATTTCCTGAGACATTGGAACGATAGGGAGGGATAATTTTAAAAACTTCTTCTTCCGGCTTGCTACGGTATACAATTCACAAAAAGAAGAGAAAAGAAACAGCAGAGCATAATTCGGGTGCGGGGAATCGAACCCCGTCTTGCTGCCTGAAATAGATTGCAGAGAATGCCCAGAAGGAGAGCAGTCATGCACCGTACACCACACCCGATTAACCTACCTCTTTTCATGCTCTTCAAGCGGGCGAGATTTGGTGTTTGTGGCAGAAATAAAGGGTATGCTACACGTGGGCAGAATTATTCAGGCGCGGGGAGTCGAGCCCCGTCTGACCCCATCTAGCTGCCTCAACTTTATGTTTCACATCACAGGGAGAGCAGTGGTGCGCTGTACCCCACACCCGATTAGAGCATCTTTTTCAGCTCTGTTCAAGAGTGTCGGATTTTGCACCCAATGTATGAACAAATTGAAAAAGCTCAATGAATTCAGATGCGGGTGTGGGGAGTCGAACCCCATCTTGCTGCCTTAATGCAGAGAACCTGTTCAAGGAGAGCAGCGGTGCACCGTAAACCACACCCGATTAACCCACTCCCATTCACGTTGTCTAAGGGAGTCGGTCGCGAGAATGAATAAAATGGAAGAGGAGGACTGACCTGAATTCAATTCAGGTGTGGGGAGTTGAACCCTGTCTTTCTGCTTCAATTCCTAGGACAACCACAGCACGTACACCACACGCGAATAACCTACTCAATTATTCCCTGCACCCAAGAGATGAATGAATTAAAAAGCTGGGATGACGCAAATTCGGGTGCGGGGAGTCGAACCCCGTCTCACTGCCTCAATTCCTAGTACAACCACAGCAATGAGAGCAGCAGTGCACCGTACACCACACCCGATTAATCAACCTCCTACCTTCTGGCCTGGTCAAGTGACCAACCTTCGATGAAGGGGTGAAAAAAAGACACGGCAGAGAGTCATTCGGATGCGGGGAGTCGAACCCCGTCTTGCTGCCCTGATTAAACTCGCAGAAAGCCACATCAGAGAGCACAGCAGTGCGCCGTACACTACACCCGATGAAACCCCTCCCTTGTGGCCGGATAAAGGGCTGGAGATTCTGTCCTTGTAGGAGAAATGAATAAAAGTGAGGTACCCGACGAATATGATTCAGGTGCGGGGAGTCGAACCCCAGCTTGCTGCTTCGAATTTCCTAATTTGACAATACCTTCAAGGAGAGCAGTCGTGCCCCATACACCACACCCGATTCACGTACTCCCTTCCATGCTGTTGAAGTGTTGTTTACGGGAATGAATCAAACAAAAAGGACGAGTAGAATAGGATTCGGATGCAGGGAATCGGACCCCGTCGAGCTGCCTCAACTTCATTCAGGCAACGGAAGGGTAGTAGTGCACCGTGCACCACACCCGATTGATTAACCTACTCCCTTGTGGCCTGGTTAAGGGCTGGTGACTCTGTCCTTGTAGGAGAAATGAATAAAAAGGAGGAAAATCGGAATGAACTTGGGTGCGGGGGCTTGCTGCCTTAATGCAGAGAACGTTTTGAAGGAGAGCAGCGGTGAATCGTACACCACACCCAATCAATTGACTCATTTTTGCACTGTCCAAGTGCATGAGATTTTGCACCCAAGGGATGAATGAATAAAAAGAATTCACTGAAGAACCATTCGGGTGCAAGCAGTCGAACCCCGTCTCGCTGCCTTAAAGCAGCGTGGGAATATGAAGGAAAGCAGCGGTGCGCCGTTCACTACACCCGATTAAACCCCTCATGTTTGGCCTGCTTGCATGTAAGTGCATGATATTTGGTGTTTGTGGCAGGTGTACATGGGAATAATTATTCAGGTGTGGGGAGTTGAACCCCATCTCGCCGTTCTTGGAGCCAAGAAGAGCACCATACACCCGACCCGATTAAACACCTTCCTTATTCTTTGTCCACTCATTGAAGATTTACACTCGAGCGATGAATGAGAAAGAAAAAAGGTGATCAGCAGAAACACAATATGTTATTCGAGTGCGGGGAGTCGAACCCCGTCTGGCTGCCTCAAATTTCTCAGTCGATCTCTTTGAAAGAAAGCAGTGGTGCACCGTACACCACACCCGATAAACCTCCCCCTTTGCATGCTCTTGAACTTCAAGCCGGCGAGATTTGGTGTTTGTGGCAGAAATAAAACGGGTATTGTCTGAGACCCCTTAGTGGGCCACTTGCATAATATAAGCTGGTGAGATGCATAGACCTGGGATTCGGTACTTCTAGGATGGAATACAATGTATGACGACGGCGTGCGTCAAATTTGGAGGAAAGTGGTGGCGGCGATCAACAGCTGTGCCGGGTTTTTGATCGGGATGACGGCGTGCGAGCATCATTCCTTGTCTCCGAACACTTTCTTCCGTTTGTTCCTCCACCAATTCCTGGCCGATTCACAAGTTCAGGGGCTCGTTCTTATCCCTGGATCCCAGGAAATGATCTGCAACTATCCTGAGAACAAAAAATGTTCCCTCTTGCCTTGCTGAGCCCCACGAAGACCTTGATGTGAGCTTGAGTGGCGGATTTTCAACCTCTCCATGGTGAGCCAACCGTGCATGCTACGGACCTGAGAATTTGGGGCTACACTTTAGACACCAACCACTCTCTCAAAGCTAAATCGTGGGTTTCTACTTGCCATCTTTGCCATTTGGTGGTCACCGAGGGATATATCCCAAAACACCCGAATTTCGTTCACGCGTATGTATGAACTTTTTTGGCGTGGTTATTGTAGGCTAGAGGTCAGCTGTTGTTAAAATATATATGCAAATGCATCTTATCTAACGGTCCGTATCAAATTTTGGCCCACCAATGCACTCTGTACTTTGCAGAGCATGCCACACAGCAATTTCACCCCTTTTCTTTGGTTCAAAGAGAAATAATTTGAGGTTTTCATATACCTCAGAAGTGCTCTGTTATTGTACAGAATATTGCAATTGGATGTCTTTAATAATTTGGGATACATTGGGACGGCCAATACCAGTCCGAATGAACGATGTGAGGGGGTGGCCCACTAAGCTGTTGTTGTCGTTTTAGGAAACCGCCGGAACAAAAAATTCCGTAGGTCGAGAGACCATCGCGTAAATTCGCAGAAACTGTCTCAACTCACTCACAGGATGGATATTTTGGTTCTAGACCCCATCTAACCGTAGGCACCACATTTTATGTTTGGGCTCGAGGTCCAAAAGGCCATGGTGGCCCACTAAGTAGTCGCAGATAATATGGGAAGAATTATATCCTCAACTTTATGTTTCGCATCACAGGGAGAGCAGTGGTGTGCTGTACACCACACCCGAATAACCTACTCCCTTGTGTCCTGGTGAAGAGACCACAAGGTTGATAAAAGAGATTGAAAAAAGGTGGGATGATGTGAATTCGGGTGCGGGGAGAACCCCGTCTGCCTGCCTCATTCAGTCGGCAAGAAGCAAGGAAAGCAGTGATTACCTGTACACCACACCCGATTAAACCCCTCATGTTTGGCCTGCTTACATGTAAGTGCATGATATTTGGTGTTTGTGGCAGGTGTACATGGGAATAATTATTCAGGTGTGGGGAGTCGAACCCCGTCTCGCTGCCTCAATTCCTAGTACAACCACAGCAATGAGAGCAGCAGTGCACCGTACGCCACACCCGATGAAACCCTTCCCTTGTGGCCTTGTAAAGTGACTGAAACTTCGATGAAGGGATGAAAAAGAGGGAATAGAAGAGGTTGAACTCGAGTCGAGCCCCGTCTAGCTGCCTCGACTTTATGTTTCACGTCGACGGAAGGGGAGCAGCAGTGCACCGTCCACCACACCCGATTGAACTCTTCCTTCCTTCCCTGGTGAAGAGGCCACAAATTTGATAAAGGGACGAAAAAGACGGCCTAGAAGATTATTATGGAATTCGGGTGCGGGTGCGGGGAGAACCCCGTCTCGCTGCCCCAGATTAGCGACGGCGTGGAATCGAGGGAATCACTGCAGTACCACATATTATTATTCGGCCCGGGGTGCGTCTGCTGCCGCGCTTTGGAAGGAAAGCAGCACCCGACAGGAGTTTGGGAAACCTGTACGCCAGACCCGATTAAACCCCTCAATTATTCCCTGCCCAAGTGCATGGGATTTTGCACCCAAGGGATGAATGAATTAAAAAAGCTGGGATGACGCGAATTCGGATGCGGGGAGTCGAACCTCGTCTGGCTGCCTCAACTTCATTCAAGCAACGGAAGGGGAGCAGCAGCGCACCGTACACCACACCCGATTGAACTCTTCCTTCCTTCCCTGGTGAAGAGGCCACAAATTTGATAAAGGGACGAAAAAGACGGCCTAGAAGATTATTATGGAATTCGGGTGCGGGTGCGGGGAGAACCCCGTCTCGCTGCCCCGGATTAGCGACGGCGTGGAATCGAGGGAATCACTGCAGTACCACGCCCTCTTTGCGTGCTCTTCAAGTGGCAGAAATGAAACGGGTATACTTACTACGTGGGAAGAATTATTATTATTCGGCCCGGGGTGCGTCTGCTGCCGGATACTGGAAGGAAAGCAGCACCCGACTGATGTCGATATTGCTAGGGAGGATTTCGGAAAAAGATTGGGGTTGAACCACTAGTACTGGCGGGGTTTGAGAGTAGAGAGTAGAATGGGATAATTGATAGAGTTGGAAGCTGGAGATGCGGGAAGATGCAAACGCCCAAAAAGAAAAAAAGAAAAAAAAAGCGATGCGGGAAGATGCGTATCGATATCGGAGAGATGCGTACCACGGTTCATTCCGAAGCGGAGTTTGAGAGGATGCAAATTTATAGAGAAGAGATCTCGGGGTTAGAGGATTATTATAGCGCCATTCATTCGGGGCTTCGTTTGACGGGAACACGACTTGTAGTGTGCGGTACGCGACGGGAATGGATAGATGAGGGACGGGGAGGTGAGATAAGGGAAGGAGATGGCCGCGCGGGGTTCTGGCCCGTCCCCAATATGACCGGATCTGGAGAGGAGGTTGTTATCCGCGTAGGTGGTCGGGTGGAGTCGGAAGCGGGATAAGACTGGGAGCTACTGGGAGTATTAATCCAAGTGGATGCCTGGCCCAAGCCTGAATCAATTGACGCGCCGTGATAAGGAATTTGATAGCAACGGACGCCGACTTGGTCTACGTCGGGGGCTGTCGTCGCTGCAACTGTTACTGTCGCAGCATTGAAGTGTGTCTTGGCAGAGGGATGATGCAGGCACGGTATTTGATTGGGCGATAAGAATGTGTATTATCTCCAAACTTGGGCTTGCTTCCTGCCGTCAACTCCAATCTTTTCTGCTCGTCCAGCAATGTCCGCCAACGTCGCGACCCGCCTCATCGCGCGCACAATGTCCGCCCGCGGCCTCAACATCTCCTACGACTCGTCCGGCGACCTCAACTGGGTCGACCCGGGCACTGGGACGCTGTACGTGTATAATGGGGGCGATATTGCGTGGGTGAGTGCTGAGTTTGGGAGGAGGGTGTCCACTCATGTCGGCTCGCAGACCCTCGCAGCCATGGCCCTCGTCTGGATCATGATTCCCGGCGTCGGCTTCTTCTATTCCGGTCTCCTCCGCCGCAAGAATGCGCTCAGCATGATTTATCTGAGCATGATGACCGTGGCGGTTGTTAGTTTCCAGGTGAGTCCGAGCGAGGGAGCCGTCTGCGCCGTAGGCATCTTTCTTGTGTCCGCGCCTCTCCGCTTCTCCCCTCCTACCCTATCCTTTTCACACACGCACTAACCCTACATGCAGTGGTTCTTCTGGGGCTTCTCGCTCGCGTTCAGCGAGACGGGCAGCGCGTTCATTGGGGATCTGAAGGTGTGTCTTCTTCGCAGTCTTGCGGGCTCGTTATTCTTCGCCTCCCCACCCACCCTTCCCTACATCCACTCCCCCCGCCCTCGCACGAAAACCTCGCTAACCCCCATTCGCCCAGTACTTCGCCCTCCGCGGCGTCCTCGAGCACCCCTCGATCGGGAGCACGCGCATCCCCAGCATCGTCTTCTGCATCTACCAGCTCATGTTCGCCGCGATCACGTGCGTCTTGCCTTTTGTGGGGGACTTGCTCGCTCGCTAACCCCCCTCCCGCAGCCCGATCCTCGCCATCGGCGCGGTCGCGGAGCGCGCGCGCCTCTGGCCGCTCATCGTCTTCGTCTTCGTGTGGAGCACGCTCGTGTACGACCCGATCGCGTGCTGGACGTGGAATAGCAATGGGTGGTGCGTGGTCGTTTTTTTTTTTTTTTTT